AATGCAACCAGATTCAGTATTTTTATGAAGCAAAGCATTTTGTATCATAAAGTACGGGGTTTTTTTTTTAAGATTTATTTTATTTATTTGAAAGACAGAGTTAGAGAGAGAGAGAGAGAGAGAGAGGTCTTCCATCCACTGGTTCACTCCCTAAATGACCATAACAGCCAGAGCTGAGCTAAGCTGATCTGAAGCCAGGAGCCAGGAGCTTCCTCCAGGCCTCCCAGGCAGGTTCAGGGGCCCAAGCACTTGGGCCATCTTCTACTGCTTTTTTAGGCCACAGTAGAGAGCTGGATCAGAAGTGGAGCAGCCAGGACTTGAAGCAGCACCCATATGGGATGCCAGCACTGCAGGCCAGGGCTTTCACCCGCTGCGCCACAGTGCCAGCCCCTAAAGTATGGTATTAAAATGGAAAAACAACTGAGACCACCTGTACATCTGTGTGAGCTTCATCACAAAAGACAAGTGGAACCAACTGGCCACAAACTCAGAAGACCTCACTTTGTCCCCGCCCAGGCAAAGTCTCACAGTTCAGGTCCACGGCCTCTGTCCAGCCACATAAACCTAGCACGCAATGAAGTAAAACTTACAAATGGAGCTGGCGCTGTGGCGTAGTGGGTAAAGCCACCACCTGCAGTGCCGGCATCCCTTATGGACACCAGTTCTAGTCCCGGCTGCTCCACTTCTGATCCAGCTCTCTGCTATGGTCTGGGAAAGCAATAGAAGATGGCCCAAGTCCTTGGGCCCCTGCACCCACCTGTGTGGGAGACCTGGAGGAAGCTTCTGGCTCCTGGCTTTGGATTGGCCAAGCTCTGGCCTTTGCAGCCAATTGAGGAGTGACAGTGGATAGAAGACCTCTCCCTCTCTCTCTTTCTCTCTCTCTCCCTCTCTCTCTCTCTCTGCCTCTCCTCTCTCTGTGTAACTCTTTCAAATAAATAAATCTTTAAAAAAAATAAAACTAACAAATGGCTAAGGCCACCCAACAGTTCTGTTCCCCAACCAGAGGAAGAGAAATCCAAGATGTCCAAAGAGAGAAATCATGGCCTCATGCAGACACACGACCCTGTGGATTGGTGAAAGTCTTATCCTCTAGCCCACTGTTCTGGCCTCACACAACAAAGGGTTGGATCAGGTTACTACAGTGGCTGTTTATGGTTGTAACCAAATCACCTCAACCCAACCCTCCAAAACTTGTGCCTAATGCTTTTCGAGATGAGAAAATGGACACTGTTATTTGAACAGGGTTTTCCAACTGCACCCAAGATTCTGTGTGACAGATCATGGGGAAATGTGAAACGTTTATGTGAAATGTTTATAAGGGGTTTGGTGTTCCTGAGGGGAAAAAAAAAAAAAAAAACAGGACGAACGATGTTAAAGCCGGAAAGGCCGGGAGGTAAGACACCTGCCGGGACAGGGACACAGCCTTCACCTGCACAGCATCAGCCAGGGTCTGCTGGCCCCTGCCTCCAACAAGTGCCGTGGCCACTCGGTCACTCACTCAGGTGCAGGGGCTGGAGACGTCTGAGCGCACTTTGAAAAGTTCATGCGAAGTGGAATTAAAAGGTAAGTTTATGTTGGTATGGACATTTTTTGAAATCACAGGGCTGGCGTGGTACAGTGGTGAAGATGCTACTTGTAGCACCAGCATCCCACACTGGAGTTCCTGTTCAAGTCCCGGCTGCTCCACTTCTGATCCAGCCTCCCCACTCTTGTGCCCGAGAAAGCAGAGGAAGATGGCCCATGTATTTGGATCTCTGTTACCCATGTGGGAGACCCAGAAGAACTCATGACTCCTAGCTTCAGCCTGGCCCAGCACCCACCTGGAGAGTGAACCAGTGGACAGAAGATCTCTGTCTCTGTCTCTCTCTCTCTCTGCCTTTCAAATAAATAAATCTTTTGAAAAAAATTGTTGGGACCGGCGCTGTGGCACAGCAGGTTAACGCCCTGGCCTGAAGCGCTGGCATCCCATATGGGTACCAGTTCGAGTCCCGGATGCTCCTCTTCCCATCCAGCTCTCTACTATGGCCTGGGAAAGCAGTAGAAGATGGCCCAAGTCCTTGAGCCCCTGTACCCATGTGGGAGACCTGGAAGAAGCTCCTGGCTCCTGGCTTTGGATCTGCACAGCTCCAGCCATTGCATCCATCTGGGGAGTGAACCAGAGGATGGAAGACCTCTCTGTCTCTACCTCTCTCTGTAACTCTGTCTTTCAAATAAATAAAATAAATCTTCTAAAAAATTGTTTTGAAATCTATGCATACTTTTTTCATAATATACATTTCCCATGAATTTTTGAAGATCCATGATATGTATGTTTTTTTATACCAAATAAACTTATCTTTCAATTCTACTTTGCACAAACTTTTTGATTCAACTAGCAGCCACTCCCGAATAAGCCTATTAACGGCACTCTTTTATTCTGAAGTGGGTTTTGGTCTTTCATTAGCGTGCATTGTGTGTGTTAAAAGATCCAGGTTTAGGTTTCCTAAGGTTGCATTTCCCATGCCCAACCAGGAAGCTCCAACACACAAGTAGAAACCTTATAGAGACCATCACCAGCTGTAGGATCGCCAGAAAACATCCCAGGTCCCTCTCTTCCATCCCCACGGCGGCCCCACACCCAGTCCTAGCTATCTCTTCCTAAGGCCAATACCATCAGTTCTCCAGCCATCCACCAGCCAAAAAAAAAAAAAAACCTTAATCACAACCCTGTCATATCACACCCCAAGTTAAGCCTTCCCAGGGCCGTCCAGTTGCTTCTGAACTAACATTAAAGCTATTTAGCACGGGCATGCTGCACACACCTTGGGCTCCCAGATCAGCAGCCAGGAGGCTGTGTGACTCCCTTGGCTCTCCCCCTCCAAAGTCCCTGCACAACCTGCCTCTCACTGCTCTCCGGCCCCCTGCTGGTGCCAGTCCCAGGGGAAGTTGTCACCCCTCTGCAGCTGCCACCCTCTCCGACCTGGTCCAGCAAGGCTCCTTCCCAACGTCACCCCCTCAGGGAGACCTCACTGCTACCCCTGCACACCCCTCCTACTCCCCAACTCCTTTTCCTGCCGCCTTCTCCAGAACTCGGGTCACATCCAGTGTGTCTGTCCCCTGCGATGCAAGCTGCGTGAGGTTATCAGGGGACCCGCTCTGTCCACTTTTGGTTCCCAAGTACCTGGAACAGGACCTGGTGTATTGCAGGTGCTCAGACAACACTACTGAACGCTCTGGTTCCTCTCTTCCTCCTGGACCTCTCTCCCACCTTTCTGGTGCTTGCCCATTCAGTTTGAAGCCATCCAGTGGGGCTGGGGTTCTGTGGGCCCCTCAGACGTGGGTAGAATGTCCGTCACAAGCAGGCTGCCAGCTGTGGCTGGAAAGCCTGTCTCCAGACCGACGGCATCTCCCTAACCAATAGCTTCCTGTGCTGCACGTGTGACCTTGTGGCTTTAAGTCACACCTTCAGGGTGGGGGCAAGCTCTCCCCCAGAGCTGGCCGGGTAGGGGCTGAGCCCCTGGGGAGAGTGGACTGGCTCCAGGAGATCCTGGCTACCTTATGGGATCCTTACAGGTTTAAATCATGCCTTCAAGGTAGCTGCCATCTTCCACCCAGAGCTAGCAGAGGAGGGGGCTGAGCCCCTAAGGAGCCAGGCTGTCTCCAGGAGACCCCACTATCTCCACGAGCCCCGAGCCAATCAACACACCTATGTGAAACCCCCATCAAATGGGCACCCCCACGGAATGACCCAATGGAAAAAAAAAACAGTAATGCCTTAAAGACCCGGGACACTGCCCCAAGACCAGTGTTCCGTTTGCACTCTACCTGCTCTCCTCTCGGACCAGACATCTCCTCTGTCGCTTGCCAATCAAATAAAAGTTTCATTTCTGCCTCTTTGCAAACGGTTTCCCGGTCTTTTGCTTCTATACTGAGCTGAGGAAAAGAACCCATGAGACTCGCTCCGACGACCACCCTCCCCCGAGCAACCGGTAAGAAGTTCCAGCCACAGTTCGGTCCGCCCCTCCAGCAGGGCAAGCCCGCGCCTACCGCAGCACCCTAGAATTGCTGCCGCCCTCCTGGTGGAATGCTCTGGCGCCAACCACTCCACCCCAGGCGGCATATCTGAAACCGCCTTGCTTACTCACGAGCCTGCTTGCTTATTTTGTCTCCACCACTGAAGCAGGACCTCTGTGTCGGGAGCAGCTGCTGCCCTGGTTCCTTGCAGTGGGCTCAGCCCACAGTGGGTAACTCAGTAAAACACCTGCTGGAGGTGCACTGTGGGCCTCGGTGTTCTCCACCAGGAAACAAAAGGGCTGCAGACACTCAGGTCTCTGGGTTCTCACCGCCTCTCTTCTAAGAACCCACACTCTGGAAAGCCCTCCCTTGGAACACTTGGGCGGCACGACCTGGGTTATAATTCCCTAGATTTTACCTCTGAGCAAACTGCCGAATCTGGGACCAGCGCCAACAGGCAGAGCTGTTAACCAGGGAAACTAACTAGATGGAAACCTACAGTTCTTTTCAACGTGGCGACCACGCAAGCAGAACTGACCAGGACTCCCTGGTCCTCAGAAATGAGTTTAAGAAAGGGCCAGTTTGCTGCTTTACTTCGCACTACTGGGACAGCGCGCGTGCCACGGCCCGACTGCGTTGCCCGCGTGTGTTCCCACGCGTAGGGCTCACGGCTCAGGACTAGACCGGGTGCCGAACGGCAAGATTCGTCTTCGAGTTGCTCACTTTAAAAGCACATTTAGGCCACTGCGGTCCGCCTCTGGCGTGGCTCCACTCGCAGTAGCTACTCGGGAGTGCGGCGCGCCCGAGGGGCCACAGAGGTGCGGTGGCCCCCCAGCCCCACCCTGGGAAAGACTGGGTCAAGGTGCGCGCCAGGGCTGCTGGCTCCGTCGCCACCGGCCGGGGGGGGGGGGGGGGGGCGCTGCACCGCCGAGGCACACGTGGCCAGGGGCTGTGAGACGCCTTCCCCGCACTCCGGCCCGCCGCACCCGACCCCCGCCCCACCTCACCCGTAGGTGGTCAGCAGCGCCTTGTTGACCAGCACGATGAGGAAGGAGCAAGTTCCGTAGAAGAGCGCCGACAGCAGCCTGGCCAGCCGGGAGGGCAGCCGCGCCGCGCCGGGCTCCGCGCCCGCGCCCTCGACCGTCATGTCCTACCCCCCACCCCCGGGCCGCGCGGACCCCCGCCGCCAGCCAGCCTCGGCCGCGCACTGTCCCCGGCGCGGCTCGGTCCCCGCCCCCGGCCGGCCCGGGAAGAGGGCGCGGCAGGAACAGGAAGAGCCGGGCGCGAACCTCGGGTGCCTCGCGCGCGCTGGGGACTTTTCCGGGTACCTGGACCCCCGGCGCCTCCGGAAAACGGGCTTGGGGCAGTTGGGAACTTCCCGCTCCACCAAGATCGCGGTCTTGGGGAGAAACGCTCACGCTTAGGGTTTTGCTTTTTTCCCCCGTGCTAAGCTTATTTTCTTGGACGTGTCATTTACAAGCAGTGAGAGACCAAGTGTGAGATGAGCTTTGGCAAATGCGCGCATCCGAGGAACCACTCCCAAGTCAAAACAGCATTCCCAGCACCCTCAAAAGTTCCTTTGAGACGGGGCTTCGAGTCCCGGCTGCTCCACTTCTGATCCAGCTCTCTCCTATGGCCTGGGAAAGCAGCAGAGGATGGCCCAGGTGCTCGGGCCCCTGCACCCACTTGGGTAGACCTGGAGGAAGCTCCTGGCTCCTGGCTTCGGGCTGGCCCAGCCCTGGCTGTTGCCACCATCTGGGAGTGAACCAGTAGATGGAAGACCTCTGTCTCTCCCTCTCACTACAGTTTCAAATCAATAAATCTTAAAAGTTCCTTTTGTGCCAAGTTAACCCTCCCACCACAGTGCCTTCCATGACTGTAGGTTACATTTGCTTTATTCTAGATTACACACACAGGATGCTTTCTGGAGTTTCTTATGTACCCGAAAGGCTTTTGCTCTCCCCATTCATTTTATTTGTGCCACACATCCCTGTGGTTTCTTTCCCCTTTCACTCGCCAGAAAAATAGCACTAAAAAAATCCAGGAGAGAGGCCAGCGCTGTGGCACAGCGGGTAAAGTCGCCACCTGCAGTGCCAGCATCCCATATGAGCACATGTTGGAGTTTCGGACTGCTCCACTTCCGATCCAGCTCCCTGCTGTGGCCTGAGAAAGCAGTAGAAGATAGCCCAAGTCCTTGGGCCCCTGCACCCGAGTGGGAGACCTGGAGCAATCTCCTGGCTTCTGGCTTCGGATCGGTGCAGCTCTGGCGTTTATGACCAATTGGGGAGTGAACCAGCAGATGGAAGAGTCTCTCTGCCGCTGCCTCTCTGTAACTCATCCTTCAAATAAATAAATAAATCTTTAAAAAGAAAAATCCAAGAAAGCACAAATTGTGCAAAACAAGAAAGAAAACCACAGGGAAGCCTGTTTTGAAAAACAAACTCATATTCAAGTCATTTTAATTAATTCCCTCAAAGTGATCAACTAAGCTTCCAGGGAGTCTCCAAATAAAATTTGACTGCAAAACAGTATCGTTGGAGGCTGGCGCCGTGGCTCAATAGGCTAATCCTCCACCTGCAGCGCCGGCACACAGTTGCTCCTCTTCCAGGCCAGCTCTCTGCTGTGGCCCGGGAGTGCAGTGGAGAGTGGCCCAAGTGCTTGGGCCCTGCACCCCATGGGAGACCAGAAGCACCTGGCTCCTGCCTTCGGATCAGCGCGGTGCACCAGCCGCAGCGCGCCAGCCACAGCGGCCATTGCGGGGAGAACCCACGGAAAAGGAAGACCTTTCTCTCTGTCTCTCTCTCTCTCACTGTTCACTCTGCCTGTCAAAAAAAAAAAAAAAAAAGATTTAAAACAGTATCGTTGGATCAGCAGGTTAGGCAACTGGAGGTGAAATCCTGAGGTGTTTGGCTGCTCCGCTTCTGATCCAGCTCCCTGCTAACATGCCTGGGAAAGCAGCAGAGGAGGGCCAAGTTCCTGCCACCCAGATGGAGTTTCAAGCTCCTGGCTTCCATCTGGCCCAGCAGCCAGTGAACCAGCAAGTGGAAGATCTATTCTGCCTTTCAAATAAATAAACAAATCTCAAAAAAAAAAAAAAAAAAGGTATCATAAGTCTTTCAGTGGTGCCCTTCATCCTATCTGCATTTGATTTGCTTCTGTATACACTTCCTGGACCTTCTGTCACAATCCCTTCCTTATCCTGTTTAACTCATTGCTCACTGCAGTTGTTTGGGAAAAATCAGAAGAGACTGGTTGATTGTTCATTGATCTAACAAAAGTAACTGAAAAGAAAAATTAATTTACTAGACTCTTCAAAAGTAGACAGGTTCTAAATGGATTCTGGGGGAGGTGTGCCTCAGAAGAAACACATCCCGAATGTACGCGGAATAAAACCCCAGTTCCCTATCACCCCAATTTAAGGCCTGGGATACAGCTGGCGATAGCTTACTACTTATCCCTACCAGTGTTATTTTTAAACCCAATAAGGAAGTTAAGTGTTTATAACCTTAAAGGCCCTTACAAAGTAAGAAAAAGCAAAATCTCACAACAGTTGCAACTATGCAACAATGATGCCTCCGGGAGACTGGAATGATATAAAATGTACCAGAATACTGCTGGAGCAATGCCAGGCTACAGGGGACACTTCTGTGCTTTTACTTTTTTTTATATCATGGTGATTATATTTTTGAAGGGAAAACAAATTAGAAAGGCTTCAAGAATGACCATAGAGTTTAAATTAAAATAAATTTTTATTCAAAGCATCTTTTAAAAATTACAGCATGTTTATTTGTATGCTGGTAACTCTGCCAAACTACAGCTTAGCCATATGAAGCATAAAACACTTCAAAAATCTGAATGTAAACCACATTTTTAAAACAAAAAGCAGTCTTAACACACCTCAAATTTTAGATGCCAATGTATTTTGTCCAAGTAGATAGCTTATATAAAAAAGAACATTTTAAATGTTTCTATAGTAAACAGTTCTACTAATTTCTTAAACTGTTCCAATTATACAAATTTTAAAAAGTTTGTGAATAAAACTATTATAGTTGACAAAAGCTGACTGGAGAAACAAACAAACAAACAAACAAACCTCTTACTTTTAACGGCCTAAAATTTTATCATCTGTGAACTGGCAAATACTCATACTTTAAAAAAAATTCTTCCTGCCCTTCCTTCTTTAGATTATCAAATTTTAAATTTCCCAAGACTGATGAGTGTTGCTTTTAGTCCATTTAAATCATATTTGAGAATAAGTTCTAGAGGAAATGTTGAAACCTAAACCAAGAAAATTCAGATGCTATGTCTCTTACCATACTTATAAGTGCTCCAAGTTAAAATTCTATATACCAGATTACAAACAAAATTCTTAGACCATTACAAATATAAATTCTCTTATTACAAAAAAACCCTAAAGATTTGTAATTTACTGTACAGAGGAATTACATTTTAAAGTATGTCCTCATCATACACATTATTTGTTAACTATCACGTCTTTCACACTTCAGTTCCTCTTCAAGACATTTACACAACTCCCCTTCCCAAGGCCATGCATTTTTAAATGCCTGTGTACTGCAACACACTGGGATTTTTTGGATACAGAAGCCTACGTTCTAGATGTTTCTAGAAGTTTCAGCCATGGCTGCAGGAGACCACTTCAACTCAAAAAAATAAAACAAGGCGCTGAAGAGCCCATAGTTCCCTCTATTACTCTGAGGCTTGCTCCAATTAAGCAATCTAGAGATTGCCATGCTAGGCATGTCATTTAGTTCTGCTTGTAACAAAAGCTAAAAGGATGGAGGTTTTTCCCTACATAAAGGAGGTGGACTGCTCGGCTCTTACTTTTCCTGTTTATGCTTCAGTACATAAAGTGATGTTTTATAACTTCATCTATTTGGAAAAATGGTTTAAAACCACCACACAAGTTAACACACTTGCAGTTAAAACTATTCCAGAAGCCTGCGTATTTGAGTAGCTAATTTCTTCTGCAGTGTTTAACTGAGAGCTACATTTAGTGAACACAAAATAGCTTGGCATGTTATTCTGAAATAAAGCAAGAAGGTGGCTTTATGCACTGAAAATATAAATATGGAGGCTTCCATTTGCTAACAATTCTAAAGAAGCAGTACAATTAAAATTTAGTGTTTGCTAACAAAAGATCTAAAACATCTCACTATGAAACAACCCTGTAGGTGTCCCTTTTATTCATAAAAATCCAAGTGCCAAATCTCATTACAGGGCCCATAATACACATTTAAAAAATACCAACTACCATGTTACCTAGACTTTGCAAGATTAATCACTCAATTTCAGCAAATGAGAAATGAAATGTGCAAAAGTTCCCAAGTTAACATGCTAGGGATGACAAGTGCTTTTCAAACCTAAACATTATGGTGAGTTATAAAGCCCCAGAAAGATAGAATAAGACTGATTTTTCTCCAATTTTGAAGATTTTGAACTACTGCGCATCTTACCAAGGTCCTCAAATATCTGTTTTATTCCAAGTCCACAACTAAGAACATCTTCCAAAACAGTCAGCTTCCCATGACTTTAGCCTTATTGGGCACACTATTTTGCAATTAAAAAAAAATACATATCTTACACACGTATCTCATACTTCCTTGTTTGCTTCAGTGTTTACAGTATTATTGTTAAACATCCTAATATACATCACTAAAAATGATCTTATAAATAATTCATTTCAACCTTCTTTGGCTATTTGTACCATTCTGTTTTTTTCACACAAGTGTCTTATTCAGAAAGTGCTTCCTGTGAGAACTGCTTCCAATGAATGCATTAAACTTGCAAAATCTAGCTTCCCACAATATGTAGTTTTCTACCCTGTACTGTGCAGTCCATATTTACAAAATATTTTAAACTTTACATCAAATCCATTTCCATATAAAAAAAAAAGTGCAATTCTCTCTCACCCCATATTCTGGGGCAATGACATTCTTCATGAATTTCTACAGAATAGCAGCCTATGATAAGCAAATAAGGTGCTTAGCTTATGCCCAAGGATCTACTTTGTAAGTACGCTGGGCAGTACTCTCGAACAGTGAAGCGTCAGCATCCAGCTACTGCCGGAGTGGCGCCCCGGTCAGGTTGGCCAGCTCGATCAGCGCCAGGGCTCCGTGCAGGCGCTCCCGCTGCTCCTGCAGGCGGCGCTGGGCACCGCTCTTCCCGTCGTCCTCCTCGTCAGACTGGAGGTATTCCAGGGGGTCCTGCTGCTCC